GGAGGTCTCGTGGGTGGTGGTGGTGGAGGTCTTGTGGGTGGCGGTGGTGGCCTTGTCGGAACTTCAACAGGGGGGAGGTATTTGGGTGGATTGGTTTTTGGGGTTTCGAAGTGAGGTTTCGTTGGGGGAGGAAGGTATTCAGGTGAAGCCGTTGTTGGTCTAGTAGGTGGAGGTCTAGTGGGTGGAGGTCTAGTAGGAGGAGGTCTGGTGGGGATAGGCTGTGGGCGAGGAGTTGTTCGGGCGGGAGGGAGGTATTCAGGGGATGTTGGGGGTGGAGGTCTAGTCGGAGGGGGTCTAGTAGGCGGAGGTCTGGTGGGGATAGGCTGTGGGCGGGGAGTGGTTCTCGCGGGAGGAAGATATTCGGGGGAAGTTGTTGTTGGGGATCTAGTAGGGGGAGGTCTAGTAGGTGGAGGTCTAGTAGGTGGAGGTCTGGTTGGGATAGGTTGTGGGCGTGGAGTGGTTCTCACGGGTGGAAGATATTCAGGTGAAGTTGTTGTTGGTGGTCTAGTAGGAGGAGGTCTTGTGGGGGGTGGTTGAGTAACTGGAGGTGGCCTTGTAGGGGGAGGTCTGGTCGGAACAGGTTGTGGACGTGGAGTGGTTCTCGCGGGAGGAAGATACTCAGGTGAAGTTGTTGTTGGGGGCCTAGTAGGAGGAGGTCTTGTAGGAGGAGGTCTAGTCGGAGGAGGTCTTGTAGCAGGCTGTGGACGCGATGGAGCAGTGTATTCAGGAGGAATATATTGGGGTGGAGTCTTCACTGGTGGTCTCCCTGTAGGTGGGAAGGGCTGCTCCGGTCTTGGATAATTGTACGGAGGACTCGTCTGCACGGTCCTCGGTGTTGTTGGTGGAGGGGGTGGGGGTGGTGGAACTTTAGAAGGAAGGGGAAAAGTTGGAGATGGCTTTGGGTATGAATACCCGGGCTGCTGAGGTGGCTGAGTTGGGGGACGTGGCCTTGGAGTTGTCCTTGGCTGAGTTGGAGGAGGTGGTCTTGGAGTGGTAGGTCTTGGTGTAGTTGGTGGAGGCACCCTCGTTGACGGTGGGAAAGTTTCGCTCGGTTTAGGGTACGAGTAGCCGGGTTGTTTGGGTGGTTGAGTCACTGGAGGTCTGTATGGAGGCTGAGTTACTGGAGGCCTGTATGGAGGCTGAGTTACTGGAGGCCTGTATGGAGGCTGAGTTACCGGAACCCTTGTTGTGGGCGGAAAACTCTCGCTTGGTTTTGGATATGAATATCCCGGCTGCTGGGGCGGCTGCGTTGGCGGACGAGGCCTTGGGGTGGTAGGTCTCGGTGTCGTGCGTTCAACGAATGGTGTAGTTGGTCTGGGAGTTGTTGGTGGCGGCACCCTTGTTGGGGTTGGGAAAGTTTCGCTTGGTTTTGGATAGGAGTATCCTGGTTGCTGGGGCGGTTGAGTCACTGGAGGCCTGTACGGAGGTTGCGTCACTGGAGGCCTGTACGGTGGCTGCGTTACTGGAGGCCTGTACGGTGGCTGCGTCACTGGAGGCCTGTACGGTGGCTGCGTCACTGGAGGCCTGTACGGAGGCTGAGTCACTGGAGGCCTGTACGGAGGCTGAGTCACTGGAGGCCTGTACGGGGGCTGAGTCACTGGAGGCCTGTACGGGGGCTGAGTCACCGGAGGCCTGTACGGCGGTTGCGTTGTCTGCTCCCGCCTGTTCAAAACATCACCATGAAAAATCCATAAAAATAAAACAAAAAATTCTCTAAATACACTACTTACGCTGGCGGTAGAGTGAATTGTTTCTGCGGGGGGTTGTAAACATATCCCTCGAATGGAGCTTGCGCCCCTGAATCACCGTCTATCGCTCTCCTGCTTCTCCCGTGCACTTGGCACGTCGAGAGCACTGCCACCAGCGTGACACACCACAACAGCTTCCACTGTAAACACACGCAATCTAATTACTCCCATTAATTATATTCGTTGACATTCAGTGTGGAAATGCTTGCTCAGTTCATCTGCACCAAATAAAAACATTGCGCAAGAGGGAATCAAGTTTTCCTGAATGTGTTCGAGCGACTCGTGGGATACTCTCACGCCTCGCCCTCAATTACCCTTACATAAGTCTAGACTCCACATGACGACAGAAATGCAATCGTAGGAGGATGGCACAAGCAATCGTTAACGATTCCTGGGCATATCGGTGGACGTTAGAGTGTCATCTATCATTTTTGAATGCGTGTACTTGACTCAATGGAAAAACAAAGTGTCTTTCGACATTGGGAGGGGAGAATTTCCGAGGAACTCGAAGCCAAAAAAAGAAATGATAATAAGACGACTCATCGAACTTGCGCCATCGGGGGCCACCATGGTTCCACCTCGAAAGGAAACGTCCAGTGACCTTTAACAACTATAATTTATATCTAAGATCGAGCATAGGGAAGAGTAAATATCGCTCCTTCTCCCGGTTAGCGATAGTCCTGTTCAAAGGTTATAGCGTCTATATTGGTGAATGTCCCCATGACGAGTCAATGAGTAAATTCAACACGATCAAGCTCTCACGTAGTTGTAATTCAATAGTAAATTGAGTCATTGAGTGTAAATCAGGTACTCGGTACTTATTTCATTCATAAATGCCTCGTTCATTCATTGAATACATTATAGTGACTTAAAAAAAATCACATTTCCACATTTCCTGTCTCTATTATGTCAACTTTATTCTTCGTATTTTTACTGACCGCTGGATGCGTGCGAATGTAAGCCCGGAGAAAGTTTTAAAATGCTCGCGCATCTTTGAATTTTGCCAAGGGGCAGATATACGGTGACCAATATTGTTGATGCTGGCCTTTATAAAAGGCCCACCTCCTGCGAGGCGTCGGACATGTTGCGTAAGAACGTCAGGTTCCTCGATTATATCATCGATACCCGGGGGGACAGAGCCAACAAGTGGATAGGGTAAACTGTCAGCATTCAAACGAGCGCCGTTGGAATAGAGACTAGTGCAATGCCCCTTGTTAAAGACTCATTGAGAACCTGTTCAACTGCAGTTCGTCTCGACAGTATTTGCGTGGCAATAATCGGCTGACACATTAGTCCCACGCAATGCCGAGCTAAAAAATTTTACATTTATTCTTGATTTTAATCGTTCCTGTTCTTTTGAAAATAGATATTCTAATTTATTGATCCATATCTTACATTCGAAGCGTTTGCGGGTGTCGTCTCTTCGTTTGGCTTTCAACAGTTTTAATGAAAGTGCATGATTTTTGCATTTGACTCGTGGGACAGATGTGTGTTCGTAAAAATGTCGGAATATCGAGTGTTTCATGACGAAAATTAATGATGAAAAACGTATTTTAATGCATTTTTCGACGGACGCCTATTGTTTTTTTAAAGACTCATTGAGAATCTGTTCATCAACTGCAGTTCGTCTCGACAGTATTTGCGTGGCAATAATCGGCTGACACATTAGTCCCACGCAATGCCGACCTAAAATTTTTTACATTTATTCTTGATTTTAATCGTTCCTGTTCTTTTGAAAATAGATATTCTAATTTATTGATCCATATCTTACATTCGAAGCGTTTGCGGGTGTCGTCTCTTCGTTTGGCTTTCAACAGTTTTAATGAAAGTGCATGATTTTTGCATTTGACTCGTGGGACAGATGTGTGTTCGTAAAAATGTCGGAATATCGAGTGTTTCATGACGAAAATTAATGATGAAAAACGTATTTTAATGCATTTTTCGACGGACGTCAGAGTTGTAAACTGTAAGCGGACAAGTTCAGTCGTCTATTGTTTTTTTTTATTTAAATATTTCCAGTTAATCAACAACCCTCCAGCAGTACTAATCATTGAAACGTAAGTTCCTCGGTTTGTATTTTTCAAATATATATTTTTCAACAAAAACAAGAAGAAGAAAAATTATTTAAAAAATTCCTGTGTAATGAGATGCTTAAACCATCGCCCATGCCTATTGAGAAATAAAGAGTGTCAAAATTTGAATCAATAGGTAGAAAATTCTCGACAGGAGACAGCAATGGTCTGACGAAACGAATTATTGGAAATTCATCTCTTGCCAAAAAAGTTTCTCTTGCCGTTCAAGGTCTAATTATTGACGCAATCACCTCGGAATTATGGTAATTCCAACTCCCTTCACGCGCATACATTTATCGAGGCAAAACTGATTCATCCCTCATAATGTGCATGAGGTCTTGAACAATAATTGCAAGGATTGGGATTCAGCGTGACTTGAAATCGCGATAAATCCTCGGGTTTGAATATCCATTGAGTCTTCTAGGCTTTCTATATGTTTTTCACACAAAAGGTTAAACAGAGTGACGTTGAAAATAGGATGACTGTGCATTACTGACAAGGTGTTTCAACGAGCGTGTACAATTATGGGTAATAGGGATAATGCATTTACCATCATTGATCATAAGTTGGTGAGGTGTGTTAATTTTTAAAGACCGGTGGGGCGGGGGGGAGGGGGGAATTTTCATGCTATTAATTTGGCGGCTTCTGGGCATCCGCTGACGATCGTAAAAGACCTTCACCCGCACCGTTTTGTGGAAATCTGTGTGGGAAGAGACATGAGGATGTTTCGATAGTTATGCGGTTGCTTCACTCGGTTGAATGGTCAATTTAATTTATTCTCTCTGGTTCATGTTGAACGGTGAGCTCCTATTTTTGGATTTTTTTTTCGGTTGGAAAAGGGAATTCTGTTACAATGATGCAATATATTATTGTAAATTTAAAAGGTCCACTGGGCAATAAATCGTGCCATCTGAAAAGCTTGACCTTCAGCTGATTAATTTACATTTTTTTGGGAAAATCAGGATGACATCAGACTGGTGAATATTTTTGTCTGAAATTTCCGGTACACTTTTTGGAAATTGTTGCCGAATTCAATACCACTGAAATTTCAAGAAATTTCGTCACTGAAAATTCAGAATTTCGTGGAAAAATTTAAGAGAACTGTGAATTTCAGTTCCATTTAATTGAATTTAAATAAAAGAAATTAAATTAAATTAATTTGATTGGATAAATAAATAAATATTTATTTAATTAACAGATAAAATAATAAATAAATAATAATGTTTAATGTTTTTTTATGTTTATGTTGTTTTTATAATGTTTGAATAAATAAACATTATAAATAAATAAATAACCGAATATTTATTTATTTATTTATTTAAAAATCAATTATTTATTTTAATTAAAAATTAAATAAATATTTATTTATTTATAATGTATATTTATTAAATTTATTTATTATTCAATTTATTTAAATAAGCAATTAATTATAAATAATTTTTAATAATCAATAATTTATTTAGTTTATTTAAATAAACTAAACCAATTTAATAATTTATTCTTAGTTTTATTTATTTAATACTTTATTTCTTGTTAAATAAATTAAATTAAATTTATTTAACTCAAATAAAATTCGGGAATTTTACTGAATTTTCAGTGAAACCTGAAATTTCATGGTTTTTCCATTAATGCACATCTAGAATTTAGAAAAAAAACAGCAAAAATAATTCATTATGCAGGGAACGAGGAACTTTATGTCCTCAACGTGAGTTTAGTTTCGTGTGGTCACGATTGTCAGATGGCACGACTCCTCCACCTCACGAGAGCCCCTCGAACATTGTTTATTTTCAATTTTAATGGAATGATATTCTCGCAAATTAATAGATTATCTTGAGGGGAGGGCGTTTTGACATGTGCCATTCGTCAACCGCATGGCAATGACTACCTCGTGGCGTCTGACGAGAGCCCGCTCCATCCACAACTCGAATAATGTCTTATTATGCAACGAGCGCGGGTGAATAGGGAACCTATGCTGAACTGATCTTTTACCCTCGCTTGGGCAACTGTGGGATTTCAATTACGAGGGACCTTTGGAGCTATTGCGGACTGCTAATCACTTGGGTTTTGTTAGTGCCTCGTTAATTGATTTTTGCCTGTTGTTAAAGTGAGGAGACAGGAGTCTATTGTCGTACAATTCTATTCGTTGCGCCGTTTTATTTTTTTTTCCACTGGAATTTAAATCAACAGAAATGGGGTTGTGTCAATTTTTCTCGAAAATATGTTTTTCACTGAAATCGACTCTTGAGGGTATGATGCTGATGATGGGTATGATGAAAAACCAAAACGATAATTAAATTGAGAAAAAAATTAGAATTCCGAATCTACTCGAGTTTTCTGCAATTTTCTTGCAGTTTTCAATAATCTGAATTTACCGTAAGGATAGAGCTGCTTTAATTTCAATGGAAATCGAATGATTCTTTATATCGAGCAATCATTGCTACTTCATTCACAGCTTGACATCTCAAACTCGCGATAAAAATTGAATATCATTTACTGAATTTCCACGGAACTCAATAATATTCACCACGAGTAATTTTCATAGTATTAAAATTTTAATGAACACCATAAACAATCGACCCGTCATGCCCCCATAAAAATATTGCAACATCATTTGGTCACTGTATCAATCATCGAACAACAACACATTGAAAAATGGGCACAAGAGCCCCTCGAATTGTTAAAATAATTTATGCACAAGAATCATCGAGTCATTAATTCCAACAATTTTTTCCATCAAAAGCCGATAAGCGTGTGCAAGTAACCGGCGGTTGACATTCCAATGTATCTTGTCAGGATTCCACTCACAATAATAATGCTCAACGTATTAACCAATACCCCCTTCAGCCTCAATAAATAAACCCCAACACGTTGAAATAAATAAACCCCAACCGTTACAATTTCATCAATTCGACACGAGAGCCGAAGTTCCCGTTGTTGATAAATGTTAAACCCCCGACGCGTCAATATGCGATCGCAAAAAAAAAAATACATTCACTGGACTTTCCGTAATAGGCATCGAGCGTGTAATCCATGCTATTCGCAACCCGTAACCTTTACAATGTCTCCTCAGAAGAAAACGAAAGGAGAAGCTCTTCGGCGCCGAGCGATGGAGAGTGAAAAATCAGTGGTAAAAACGTTATCAATCAATCGGAATTCGGAATGGCACATCGACACCCATCGCCCCTCAATCTACATTACTCAACCGCCAGTGCCGCTGTCAACCCACTTGTCACAATTTTCCCAAATGTCACATTACTTACCATCTTAATTATTTCTACGCGCGATAGGTGCGCTACTCTCTTAAATTAACAAGAATTAACAAATGTAACACCACTTTAACGAATTTAATAGGGAATCCCGTCTTACTCACGGGAGCGGGTGTCCCGGGAGTTGAACTTCTTCGACGAGTGGCCATCGTGGAGCATTTATAGGATTCATCCGATCCTTCTCCCCCTTGTGATGACAAGGGGGGGCTAGTGGGGATAAAGCAGCAAACGCTGGTCCAGCGATGATACGCGTTCGATGCGGAGTACTGTCTCTCTTGGTTGCGCTGGTGGCAGCAGGTGTCTGAGGCAGATGGAGATTACTGAACGAGGACAATTGACTTTGCACGAGAGTAAGAGAGAGAAAGAGAGAGAGAGAGACTGGGGAAATTGTTACCAAAAGGTCCGAACTCTCGCGACAGGGGAAAATTGATGGGTCTCGGAATTTTTGGAATTATGAAATGAACGGCTTTTCGTTGAGTAATTCAATGGTCTTGTTTCTTTATCGCTGTTCATTGTGCTATGGTGCTGTTGTAATGGATTTTCAACGAGTTTCCATCATCGATGCTTCGAGAAAAACACCTCTTGCCGGCATAATCTGAGATATGTCTACTGAATATTCAGTACTGCGGAAGACTTTATTATGAGAGGATGGCATCGTAAACTGTGGTGTAAACATAATTAGTTATTAATCGATGGGAAATGGGGAGTGCACGTGTAGCATTTGATCTCGTGGGGAATAGGCGCT